ACATTTCACTCTCAACTTTAACACATAATTCCTATGCCTATATTAAAAACTATAGAATGATTTTATTGTTCCTAGAAATTCTTCAAAATCTAAGGAGGATGAGCTTCTTTGCCTCAGAACTGCTACAATACATGTTTTCTTGGATTGTCCAGAGTCATCTTAATACTTTTTTTTTAATTTCATCCTAGAATACCGGTACTATAATCTTCATATCATAATATAAAAGTGTTCTTTTATAATTCTGTATATGATACGGAATTTACCTAATAGTGTAAATGTCTCATCTGTATCAATGTAAAAAAAACCAGTATGTTTTTACAGTAAAGGGCTAGTTTTTTGGCACAAAAGCACACAGGCTTACATAGTCTTAATACTGATTATGGCTTGTGAAAGCATATCGTGCAGTCATTAGGGAAAATTTCTTGGAGTTTCACAGAGAGGTGTGAAATTGCAGGTATAATAACTGCATGATTATGAAACATAATCCATGTAGTTAACCTTCTCAGTACAAGATTTTACATAAAGTTCACACCCGGAGTTTACATTTAGGTGCTCTACAATTACACTTCAGTTACAGTATAAAATTAGAGTTGGAGCAGGATAATTGAGAATGATGAATAACCTTCTGATAATATGAACTAATGGTAGGTTTAGAGAAATACCATAATTTCAGTGTAAGTAAGGGGTATTTCTAATCCCTGAAACAGGATATTGTAAATGGCTAAAGGATTTAGGATTTAGAGAGAAAATGGAGGGCTATGCTGCACAGACTCATGATTTGGGTTTTAGGTGACAGGGGAAGATGAAGGAGAACTGAAGGGCAGATTCTGCTGCTGAATCATCATTCAATTCAATTTAGACACTAAATTGTTGTAAAGGTAGATTTAAATCAGAATAGAGAGCATGGAGATCTGATTCACTATCATCATTCATTATTTACATATTCAATATTTTTATGCAGTAACATTCCATAACTTTTTTCCTTGTCTTAAACACAGTGTATATTTGCTAGCAAACCTATATTTGTATTGACAATATATTTGTATTGACTACAGTAATCTTAATGTGTTATTATTTTCCAGTAATAGCAGTTCTATGTAATCAACCGATATAATTTAGGATATAGGTATTATCTAATTATGTAAAACCTTGACTAAGCTAATAAACAAAGCACAGTACAGTCATATACCTGAAAATCTGTCTTCTGATAGTTATAGGCATATGTGTCTGGCTTGTGGAAAACATATAGGTTCCTAGAAAGAATATAAAATAGAAATATATGTAGGAAAATAATTGGTATATATTATATATTTCAGGTAAATGTCTATTTCATAGCATAAGATACTAATTTTACTTTCATAAATCAGACTCCTAGTTATTTCTCAAAAATGGTTCAACATTCATTAGTTTCGTAAGAGGTGAATACAGTTCATCTCCAGAGAAAGTAGGTGACATTAATTTCTATCTTTGCTGCACTTCTACAGTTTTCCATTGGAGGTCAGGCCACTAATTTGTTCAGCTTCAATCTATAAATGGTAATATGCTAATACTACTCTAATACTGCCATGGTCACCTGAAAATTACTGTAATAAAGTTTTCTATAAAGTATCACTGTAAAGAAGGACTATTTCATATAGTTTATTAATATGCTTTTTCAGCTCTGTGCTGTTTGCACACCTTCAGGGAGCTAATTAGTTCCTGATAATAATTTTTTCTGACCTTGATTTCACCAAGGGTAACATAAATGACTTCAGCTTTAACTGAGGATGGAATCAGATGCAAACTCCAATGTTTTGATTACTTGGAAAGTTCACAGGGATCCTGATCCATTGCTGACATATCAATTCCTACAGTGACTAATATTTTCCAAAGTTGATATGAACTGTGAACATTGATCTTATTTTGACTCTATCTGAGATGTAGGCATGTCAGACAAGGAAAGGCTTTCAATAGAACTGACTGGTAAAATGGAAATTTTAGGTGCCTAATTTCTTCTGAGTGATAAACTCTTCAAAGGTCAATTAAGATGCTTTTATAGCAGCGATTTTATCAGTTCACTGTGAAAATAAATAAACTCTCATTTAGGGATATGAATAAGAGACTGACAAACGCATTTTACCTTCATTATTATTGCAGTAGTCTACCAAAGGTTGACAGTACTTTAACATTTGGCTAACAAGTTAGAAAGTTCAAATTTCCTATTATCTCTGTATGACACTGTGAGAAAGACTTCAAAAGGAAATTACTTTGTGATGCTTTTCTCCTGAAGGCCCTATCTTCCTTGACCTGGGACTACCTAAAAGTAGTAGGCAAACGTTAATAAGGCCTCAAGTGATTTATGATCTTTTATTCCTAAAGTTCCTGCTCTGCTGGCTAGTACCAAAGTTATGCATTCTCCTTGAAAGAGGGAGCAGAGTTTAATATCTGCACAAGAAAACACTCATTTATGGAAAGAAAAGCTTCACAAAGAAATCTGTTAGAAACTCAAATGAAAAAATCTGGGTGAATTTTCTCTGATAAGATTACTCTACTCAGTGATGTCAGATTCTCTAAAGGATATATATTGTACCAGGCTTCTTAAAGCTGAAAGACAGAATCAAAACATATTATGCTAAAAGTACACTAGCTTGTTTTATGTTTGCAGAGGTATAAATGCCTTGGAATGATACTGAAAAAAGAAGCGAAAGAAAGCACCTAATTGACCAAGCTATGCTGATGGCAACAGAAGATTTCAACAACCATTTTTTGCTTTATAGTTGTGTTGCTCTGATGCAGACTGTGTCTGCCCAGTGGCTGATGGGTCGGGTGTGCAAGCATCCCAACGGCTGCACACTGCACGACCAACCATCTTCCACACCCACTGCAGTCTGACATATGCTTTATGGAGCTGGTGTTCTGCTCTGCACTCTGGAGGATATACCCAAGGCACAGAATGGGGCTGCAGCTAGACTCACTGTCAGTGGGGACAGTAAGTCTGGTCTGAAGAGTAGCTTTGAGACCACCCTGAAAGGCAGGATAGTTATACAAAGAAGATCTGTTAAGAAGATACAGTTTTTATATGAGCATGTTTTGCATTTTACCATTGTTATACTGTATATTTTATGGAATAAAACCCAAACCCTCTAATTCCTTACTGGAAACAAACACAGAAGTCTTCAAAGGTAATCCAGGTTTCCCTGGAAACAGGAGTCTTTTCTGACTCTATTTCTTCCTTTGATTTATCCCCTGTCTGGCTGTTCATTTTAGCATCAGCTTTTTCTGAGATTCGTTTTGCATCAAAACTGATATTGTCGTGTAATTCTTCTGCAAAGATAAGAAGACACACAGAGCCAATACAGTGACAATATGCATGTTAATGTAGCATCATTCTTATATTGAAAAAGTATCCTAAAATTACCAGGAAATAATCCACATATCTCAAAGTTTGAAAATAAAAATTAACCCACTAACCTAAAAAGCTCAAATGGTGACTGCAACAACTCTGTATGGAAATTTGGAGTTTACATCTGCACCTGCTTAAGCAGTCTGCCCCAATTCAGATCACATATTAAACTGTGAACCTGAACCTTAATTTTGAGCTTGTTAGGTAAACATACATACAAATTTTGCAAACCTAAAGTCATCTATACAAAGAAAAATACAAACTCTTGTCCAAAGCTTCTATTTAGTGAAAGGCTGATTGGGCAGTATCATAAAATTTTTACAACCCACAGAAAATAACACCACAAAAAAGTGCAGGACACAAAGACCTATCCTTGCCTCTGGTACTTCGTACTCCCTGTGATGCTACTCACACATAATCAGTCTAACTACTTGTAAATGGAAATAGATCTGTACTAGATTACTTGAATTTTCTTACAGGAAAATCAGAATTAAGGTGAGATTGACACCAAAATATAAACATTGAAATGTCATGTAGACACGCTTTGCGATCACTCTATAACTTTTTAAGTTGTATTGTAATGTCACTTCCTCTGCATTTACTCTGTGAGATTCATACAAATAGTTATTGAAAATGGCCCCCCAAAAAAAGATGAGGATCAAACAGACCCTCTATTCAAATAGATGAGGTATAACAAATGAGAAAGCTATTAGAAACATACATAATTTATATTTAAATGTGCTTTGTAATATTTCATGATCACAAAGACACATAGAACTAATGTGTGGCTAATGTATGGCTCTAAGTTAGTCTGCAACTATATTTCAAGAACAGAAAGAAATGCAACATAAGGAAAGGCACCAAAGACCTTTTTCTCCTTTCTTCAGCTATGGAAAAAGTATGTGAAAGCTGTGCAATCTAGGCTTTTTCTTCTATTTAAGTTCACATGAGGCTTAGACTTCCAGTAAAATAACCACAGTGCTTGGCTTACAAATGCATGTATCACAGAGAGGATGATGAAGGGGTCACCAGAACTATGCCCAGTGCCATCTTCCTGTGTCTCAGTGTTGCTTCTCTTTGTTCATTCTGAACATGAGCACTGGAGCACTATCAACAGACCTTCTTGAGGATCAATAGGTTAGTAGGTCTCTGCAGACTTCAAATAGAATATACACTCCACCCTATTTAAAAGTCAACAGATAAACCTTCCTGTTGATTAGGTGAGCAGAATGGGGTCAGAGGGAAGATAGCTCTTCCAGTGCAGGTAAAAGAAAGTAAAAACAGCATCAACAAAATGGCTGAAATTTCCCCACTCCACTTTGAAGAAGTAGCAAAAATCTTTTGAGAATGTAATCAAAAAGCATATTTTATCCTTTTTGATCCATGCACTGAAAAGACAGTGCTGTTCAGAGTTTCCTGATACAAATGTAAGAAAAAAAGTAAATTGCTAACTATTTTTACCTTTTAAGCAAGTAGTGCCATTTGAACTTACAAAAAAATGCAAACACTGGGTGATATAATTAAGACACAATTTATGGAATAAAATGATAAATAAATTTGGAGCAAATCTTAAGAGATGTTCAGTTTAAGATAGAATTTTAAAAGTGACAAATGGAAGATAACTGCAGCAAATAATTGTAATTATCACATAATTAAATTTCTTGAATAAATGCAAATACTAATCAAATAAACAGGATATGAGTTTATTATAAAGTTAAGACTGCAGAGAGCTTCAGAAACAGGAGGAGCACACTTGAATTTGAGAATGTTATGCTATTTAGAATTCAAGCAACAAAGATTAATGTTACAATCAAGTCTAAGAGAAAAATATAACTTGATAACTATGGAAAAACACTCAAGTACACAAGTAATAACAAAACATGGATTGTAACCAAAAATGTAAGACAAATAAAACCAGATCAATAACTAAGAGTTCTGCAGCATACAAACTAGAATAATCAATCTGAAAAGGGAAAAAAAGAAAAGAGTAGCAAATGAATGCAGATTAGCAGAGTTTATCACAAAAACCCCTATTTATATGGTAACAAAATACTGTACTGCTCGAAACCTCCAAAATTTGTAGTAATAATTATGATCTTACAAAAGTGAGAAAACATATTTTTAGACAGTGTAGCATTAAACACTGCTTTTGGTAAGTGCTCAGCATTTTTCAAGCAGTAGTTCTTTACTGAGATGTTTAAATGGAAATGAAGCCCCTCATGGAACTGATCTGGCTGTTAACATCTATTCAGTATCTGGATGTTTTGTATCTGGCCCTTTATAATCATGAGTCAGCTCTTTAGGATAGGACTGTAATAAGAAAATAAAAATGTTTGCTAGCCAAGTAAATGAAAAAGCATCATAAAATACTACTTTGTAAAGAAAATGTTCAAAATTGAAATGAGTACCCTCTCTCAGGTTCCAGTTAGAAGAGATTGACAGGATGGCTTATTGGAACACAGGTACAAAACCAGCAATTTTCCATTTACAGCAGAGATTGCAAGAATTTAACATGCTGAATATGAAGATTGTAGTTAATTTTCTTAACAGAGCACAGAGATACTGGCACAGGAAATCTCCAATCCAGATACTTTTAAATGGAGGTTTTCTATCACGAGTTTGAAGATTAGCAAATGTGTCAAAGACAATATGAACAGTGATTTAAGCAACTACAGATTATTTAGCCCAATGCAAATAAAACAAATTTCAAACTCAGGCAAATGGGTAGATGAAACGCAAAATAACTTTTGCCAGGCAGAACATGTCAGACAATTTTACAGTTTGGGTTTGGTTTGGTTTTTTGGGGGTGGGATGGGGTGGATTTTTTGATGAAAAAAATCACACAAAGAACCCAAAATATCAATGATGCTCTGCCTTAATACGAATTTCATTATGAAAAGAGTGCTACATAATGCTGCAAAACTGAAGGAAATCAGTTTATAAACTTCAGGTTCCCTTGAACAGAATGCCAAATTCTAGCTACTTTCATGGAAAATATAAAGATTGTCCATATGATCAAAGAAATTTTCCACCTTACTGTGTACTACTTCAATATATCCTGTATACACCATACAGTAATGTCATACTTAATTCCACCATGCTTATTTGAAATTTCACTTTCTGGTTTTGTCAGTTTTAGCCTATATTTTAGTTTCCTTATTATTATGTCTCTGGACAAATACTGGAACAGCAAGATTTCTATGAGATAACAGATAATCATGACAATAATGTGATATGACACACAACTTCCATCAGATCCAGTATCTGCACCAAAAGCAGCTGGAAATCATAGAAAAGCAGTTCATCTAGAGAATACAACTGCTCTATTGTAACAGCAACACAGGCAGAATAAGTGCAAATGTATGAATCTTCATTTTACAACAAAACACAGTTAAGTGTAATTATATGTTTTAGGACAAATTTCTTGTTCTCACAGATTTGTGAAACTATGATTTCCTACTTTCTAGAGAAAGACAGTGATGTACTATACTTTTACAAAAACATGTCATTGTATTTGCTGAATCTCAGTGGACTTCAGCAGCCTAAGTAAGTTTGTTCTTTTTTTAAAAGAACAAACATAAAAGGACAAAGATTCCTAAACCAAAAGCTTGACATATTGAAATGCAGTAATTTATCCAGGAAAAGTTTTGTTTATATGTGTGAGTTTACTCGTAAAATATTACTGTTCTCAACAGAAATGTCTTTCAAATCCACTTCATGTGACCAGAAAGAACATTTCTGACATTAGACTATTCATAGTCTATTTTCACCTGTCTAATGACCTTTAACCAAACTCTGAAGAGATAAAGTTGTTGAATTCTCATTCACATACTTTGCAAAATTTGAGCAATTTTTAGCCATGCTTAAAAGTTGATTAAAGCCCCTATACTCATAAAGAAAACATTTTTTAGAAGATTTATCTGTTTCTGTCAGTTTTGGTTCATGATTCATACAATCAGATATTCTGTGGAGTTTATAAATAATTGTTTTGAACTAATAGTACTATAAAGTAACGCTCATAACCTAACTGAACTTGGAATAAATGGATTTTGCATAGAGAAATGACAACGCATGGATTGAGATGGCCTGGATGGAGATTGTGAAGAGAACCTGTGTAACAAAAGATTTTTGTGTAAGTAGTAATGCGAATTATTAGTATTCTAGGCCAGAGGATGGAAATACGTCCACTTTATCCTTTTCCTTGGTTGTGCTCTGGGAGCTTTTCTTCAATGAGCATTTCCTTGAGCATACTTTTGAGTGAGCAGAAAAAGTGGCAATCTGGCTATTGAGGTACACCAACTTCAGAATCAATTAATAAGTGACAGCTATGAAAATACTCCAAGTTCCCAACACATTCATGGCAGGCATAAAGAATCACCTACTGCAAACTACTATATTTCTACTAGGTTTTGGCATTGAGCCATGAGAGAATAACCAAGTTATGTTTCCAGCTCATTGACTTGTAGCATTCTGATACAGTGAGATTCTTCTGGTTTGTTTTTTTTTTTTTTTACCAGGATGATATAAATAAAATTAAGGAATCATAAGAATGTATGTTCAAGCAAAATAGTAGCTGAAATAATTGTCAGTTCTTTAAAGTATAAAACCAATTTATTAGTATAGGTTTGTAAGAAGTATGATTTACAGTTGCTTCAAGTTATTTAAATATCATAAATAAATTCTTACTCTACTTTATACTTTCACTATGACCCTTTCTTTTGGTTGTTGCCTGCCCCCATTATAACCTTGTATCACCCTATTTGGGGATTGAGAGAGATGGCTGATGGTTACACAGTTTTCCAGAATAAAGATAATGTTAAAATCTGTGAAAATATCTAAACTTGTTGGGAGAGATTAATGGGCTTAATTACTATAGAAGTTATGAAGTTGTGCAGATGCTTTAACTGAGAGGATATTAATTGTTGATTCCTCAATTATTGGAAGAGGGGATCACAGATACTTTACAGAGAACAAAATACAAATTAAAAAAAAGTTTTTAAAAATGGCATTCTAAGCCTTTTCCACCCATGAAAATTAACCTTCAAAAATGTTTCAAAAGCAAAGGTGCAGTGCACAGGCTTCTATGTGGACTGAATAGTTGAAAACCAAAACCAAGATGAGTGTCACATGTATGAATCATGGTGTAAATAATGCATGAATACTATTCAAATATTTCCCATCTTCTGCTCTGAGATTCACTTTCAGAACTCTGGTAAAAGGAAAGGTATTTCCCAGCAGTCAGTTTTAGGACCCCACAATTTTGTGCACCCAAGGAATCTGACCACTTCTTTTAAAAAGCAGGCTCCTAGTTTTAAACTTCTCCTGTCCAAGTCCTTCAAATATTCACTTAAACAAAGAGGTATTCACTTTGAAAAAAAAAAGTGAATACTCTTCAAATACTGATCTCAAACACATTTCAAAGGAAAGACTTATTAAAATGAAAGTTGTTGGGGTTTCGGCATTTTTCAGAAAAAAAATGTATCATTCACAGTGATTAGAAAAAGAGCTCTGTGTACAAAATCCAGTTGATTTATTTTAAAATATTCTTGCAAATTAGGGATTTTTTTAATACCAAACTGAAGATTCTACTCCATGGAATTATACATGCTATTATCAGTTCTTTGAAATCTTTTCCACAAAACCAATACCCATAAATGAGATTGCTGATTCATGTACATGAGGATTAACATTGAGGCCAAAGAAAATGGGAATGGTAGAAGTCTGAATATAAATTTCATATACACTTACCTTTACTGGGTGTCTCTGCATTTTGCTTGCATAAGAGAGTGGTCTCCTGTATGGTGAAAAAAAAAACCAAAGAAAGCAGCAGCAATGGTGAATATAATCTTGCATTACTTTGTAAAAGAAAATATTTGATTTTGGGACAGTCCTTCCAGAGATCGAGCAACAAACTAGTAAATTCTCATTATGGGCTTGGACTGGGTTTTTAAAAGAAAAATAAAAACAGTTAAATTCACCATAATACCTATGTATATATCACCAATAGGCAAAATAATGTTCTCCTAGAGAAGTACGTGTGATTTAAGTCTGGGATAAAAGCTGTTTCATACTCCTACTACTTCGCTATTAAAACAATGGTCTCTGATATTACTGGTTTTTGACAATAAAATATGTTCTATTCTAAGATCTCATTAGTACTATTCTAGAATCAATTCCACTTTTTTTCTAAGTTTCTGTTCTTGAAAAGTATATGGAGGGCTCCTTTACCAACTAGCATTTCTTGCTGTGCAAGAGACGGTACACAACTGTCAGTGGCAAGAGCATGCCCGATTTCAGTAGCATCTTTTGTCTTCTCTCACGGCATAAATGAAAACTAAACTGCTCTTTTTAAATGTTTTTGGCAAACAACTTTATCCTGGTCAACCCTGCCTCCAAGCTAGAGATGCTGAACTAATATGAACGCAATAGCCTCTTACACTTAAAGCTGAAATCATGTTAGCCAGCTTTGCGGAAAGTCCACTCATTAAATTTGCAAAGACAAGGTCTTTTCTTTCAGAGATTAACATCTTTGATGTGTGCCTAGCCACCCTTCCTTCTGACTGCCTCCTTGCCAGCAATATGACATAAGCTGAAAAAGACTCATTTCCAAGTCTATTCTTTTTTAATGAAGTAGAGCAGGAGAAAGGAATTCCACAGTTTCCAGTTTATTTCCTGTTTGAATATGGTACTATTAATGTGTTAGTTGGAGTAGCTTTGCCTTGCGAAGACAAATAGTAAAGCCTAAAAAGGCTATTGCAAATTTGCAAGCTTCTTTTCATCTCAGGTCTCCCTTTAACTAGATTTGTCACCCTTCCCCCCATCCCAAACTCCTCACTTATATCCATCTTCACATGTGCTGAAGGCACTGATGCTGAAACTGGGCACACGCAGTGATTTTCTGTTCTGCATTTCAAAGAGGAATTGTGGGAGCTGTGCTGACTTGGAGCTACTTTTATTGCTTTCTCAATAGAATCTAGAAATGCATTTTGAGGGACAGACAGACATAATTTAGAGAGTCTGAGTTAGACTGGACGGTAGGTCACATCAGCACCTAAAGCTCACACAAGGTCATTGTGCTGTAACTCCTCGTCTGCCTCAACCCTCCTATTACAGACTACCCTGCCTACATAATATGAAGGGACCTGTGAATGGTTCATTAGAGGAAAACCTTATAGCTTTCTACTTTAATTCCTAGCTGCAGTAAAAGTCTTCCTGCAGCATTTTATGGATCCTCCACAGGCCTAAAAATAGGCTCAGGAATCTCACCTCCATCAAAATTTTCGGTGTTTGATATGCTCGGAATTAACTAAAGGAAAGAGCTGAGAGAATAAACTACAGATTTAAGAATCTCTATCCCAAAATAGTAAGTTCCAAATAATTTAATACAGATAATTGAACTGCAATATTGTTTATTGAGAGAATTTGGAAGTTCCAGTTTTGTACAGCACAGATCTGAAATTCCATTTCAAATCTGTTATGGGATTTTTAAAGAAAGTTCATGGGGACAGATCTAATATAAAGAGCAATTAAGAGAAAAATACAGAAATTGCTGAAATTGTTAACAGTTGGGTTAACAATTTAGTAACTGAAATATATTATGTTTTACATGTTCCTTTTCAGATTAATTTCTTAGGTTTTTTCCTGGAGCAAATGAGATGAAAAGGACACTACAGGATCTTACAAATGTGCATGTACTTCAGCTCCTGTTTCCAGAATTCTGTACACACAACTGTTCAAAAAAGTCAAGCCGTGCTCACTTATAATGTCACATCGACAGTCACACCTCAACATATGGGTCTGAAAAAACTCTAGCAACACATGGACTATCTCTTCCCTTTAAACTGTGACTTCAAAAGTACACATGCATGGAGCTGTCATACTTCTGCATGGGAGCCTACAACTTGCAAGATTCCAATATTCCCAAACTTCTTGTAAGAGTCACCAGACTTACAAGACAGATACATGTCAACTGTACAATTTATTAAGTTTCTTCTCAGAAATCCAGGACATGTCCAAAGTACAAAAAAAGTATGAAATCTACCATATAAGCCTTGGAGACTGCAATGTTTGCATCACAAGTCTAGCACTTTCTGCCTGACATACTGTTCATGGACAGTGCACATGATCCATACTTCTAGTATGAACATGTGGTAGCTTAATATAGACCTACTTTGTTGGCATTAACATCTGTCAGCTGGAAAGCCTGGAGAGGTGCAGAAAATCCTCAAAAACTGCATCAATAAAATTTTCGGGAAAGAAGGAAAATGTACCCTGGAAAATCTGGATGCTTAGTACCGTTACTTCAACTAGTCTGAGCTGTGAAAGCTATCTAACCACAGCTGTGTAGAGACTCCTATAGGCTGATTAACTCCGTTTTTGGAGCACAAACACAACATTGTCAAAAGCTGTCTGCTTTTCCAATGGTACAGGATGTGTCCACCTACTTAAACCCCACTGATTTGGAGACAACCAGAGTGCCAAGGAAGTTCTCATTCTGTTATACTATTGCCTCACCTACAGTGACTAGACAATCATTGGTATCAGTTGTAAAGCAGAAGGTAAGAATGAGTTTGAATATATAAAAGAGTGGACTGAATTAAGAAAAATGATGTAAACAGGAACATTAAAGAAAAAGTGTATTGTGTTTATGTCACTGGGAGACAGAGGATATTTTAATCCTCTTACTTTAGAAAGTAGCATTGCCAGAGAACTTGACACTGAAGAAGCCACAAAGAAATCAGAGTGTTCTGCTAAACATTTATGAATATATGGGGTCAGTCATTAAAAGATCTAGTAGCCATTGCACATTGTGATGGTAAACATATTTGGATTAGATTTACTTGCTTTGTTACTGTTCAACATTTCCTCAAACAGAACACATAGACCTTTCTTCTCAGTTGATTTGGAGATAACAAGTACTGCAAAATTCATCTCAATGAAGAATATTCAAGCAGGCTTTTGAATGGCAGAGCTACAAGGAAACACTACTCCAGCATAATCTTTTTCTCAAAAGTGTTTAACAAAATTACTATTGTACAAGACACTGTGCAATTTACATATTATGACAGTTTGGGTTTTTTCCTGGTCACAAAATACCCTCACATGTATTTCCATGTGTCCTACATACTTAGCTTCCTATTGAACAAGAATAAAAGAGAGCCTCTCTTTTCTTGGCATGAGTACTTTAGGAGCCATCAGGGATACTGATATGCCTTTCAACTTCTTCAAAAAAGGTACATCCAGCTCCTATAATTTTATCTTCCATTTATCACTAGTCTGTTTCTGTGACAACAGACCTTAGGAACAGTGAATCAGATATTCAGTAATGTTACTTCATACAGTTTACATTGGAGTGAATTGAAATATGCCAATTTAAACTTGCTAAGCATCTGGCACAGCAGCTCACTGAATTTCAGTCAGCTTAAAGCATAAAACTGCTGCATCCCAAAGATTTACCAAATCTGTATCAAAAGCTCTAAAGCAGATGTCTCCTGAATAGTAATCACAGATTAAAATGGAGATAGTTATTCACACTCAGTACACAACAATACAAAATTCTACAAAGAAGCACTAACAAGGTGAGTTGGGGATATCAAAATTTCTCTTTCAGAGTTTGCTTTTTTAATCACTAATTGATTTTTTTTTAAAGCATACATGTATATTGTCATTTCAGGTTTTAAAAGTAGAGAAAGAAAGCTCTCCCATTATGAATCTCCCAGATGTATCCACATAATTTTGTTTATGAAAAGATTTAATATGTGAAATAAAGAAAATTGTTCTGCAAGTTAAAAACTACTTTCTTTTCCAATCTGCACAAATGAAGCTTTCCTTACATACTTCAGCTATTAACAGGCACAGCATTTTTCAGCTAGGCAAAAGTAAAGTTCAAGTATAAGTCAATTAGCTGCTTATGACTTCCTGTATTTCATGTCTGAATCAGATTGCCCTCAGACTATGTGACATTTGTGTCTTCTTCCAACCTTTCCAGTTTTATCAATGTCTCTCTTGCATTTTCTTACTTGCCTTTGCCTCTCCTTGACTCCATGTCCTACCATGATAGGTCAGCCTTCTACATCACTCTTGGACTAGGGGAGAAAACCTAAGTGATGTTCCAAATTGCTTTAGTGCTTCCAGTACGTAAATGTCTATGAATTCCTAACTAACCAAATCTATATTTGTACACCTAGAGACTGAACTAATGAAACTAATAATTTTTATGCACTGTAAGATGATCCTTTTTTAGCCTGCTGCTTTTGTAATGATGTTTGTAAGCTGCTGTTATTAAAAAGAACTTTAAAGGTGAAGTACTATTGAAATACCAATTAAGCTATTGTTTACAAAATGTACATAAAATACTGAGTAGCTAAACATATATTCTATTGTAAAGATTTCTTCCTCACTACAGAATTGCCTTATTTTAAAATACTTAATATCCAGTAATTATATCCACACACACACATTGTTTAGACAGACAGTATAGATATAGGTCTGAAACATAAAAATATTTTAAGAGTGCACTCTGCAGAGGAAACATATAAATAGGTACTCCAAAAATTACATAGAAAAGTATTTATCATTCATTTCAAAATTTACCAAACTAAATCTTAGTTTCTTTGTTCATGAAAGTACCTCATGACATATTTCCTTAATAGTATGCCTTTGGTCTTCAAACACATTTTGTAACCCTACAGACAGTCACTATACATCAATCAAATACCACAAATGTTACCTCCAAGTATATTTATCATTTGCCCCAGAAAATGACAGCAGAGATTTTAAAACAATTAGGTCATCTTTACTTCTGGACTGTGTGCACAAGGACTTGGTTGCTGTTTTTCCTTTACACAGCACAATGGATGAATACATTTTATAAGTTGTTTTAAATGATGTTCAATATTGTAATGACATTGCATTTAACATATATGGAAGATGTACTCACTCTTTACTTGGGAGAGAAAATACGGAGGGAAGAACTGTAGTAAACATTTACAAATTGAAACATTACCTTCGCCAAAATATAATTGATTCATTGAATCAGATCCAGATTTTTAGTATAACATCACTGAAAGCACTTTCATGTTGCCTAGACTGCTTTTTCCCTCAATTTTCTTAAAGTCAAAAAGAGAAATACTTTCAGATGCTCTTAGGAGCAGTGTTTGCTGCAATAAGTATTAAACTGAAGTGATGCTGGCACTGCCATGTTGTCTTCTTTTGTAAATATTGAGCAAATAAACAATCTTCAGTGGAGCTCTGTTTGTTTGAATATTTAAGAGACTATTCCTCTATGTTGCCAATTATTTCCATGTATGAAATATTTT